GTTTCACACGAGGAAATGAGCAGGCTTCAGAAAACACAGTTCAAGAAATGAACATAATGATAAACGCAAGGTCTGATTTTTTGTGTTAAAGGCTTTGTGTTGCTACAGTTGGGTAAGCGGACCTTACGTTTTTCACATGATACAAAGTCTTCGAACATGGGAATTTTTTGTTTTTTGCTTTAACGGTCGGACATGTACTGTATGCACAGCAGATAAATGCCCTGACTGAATTAATGCATTTTATCATTTGGAAATGAAAGCATTTGTCTGTAAATCAATATTACATCATCGTCATCAGTATTTACTTTTCCTTAGAATTACAGCACCAGCGCTCTGCTCAGGTCATGAGTTTAAATCCCAGCACCGCCAAGCTGCCACTGTTGGGCCCTTAAGCCTCAGCTGCCGAGACGTATAAATGAGATAAACGTTAGTCACTCTGGATACGAGCGTCTGCCAAATGCCGTAAATGTAATGCAATTGTAGTTACACTGTTTAAACTATCAGACTGTTACACAGCATACTTTAAATGCATAGTTGCAGAATAATAGCTAATATAAATATAAATTCTTACAGTTTAATGTACACTGTTGCAAATGCCTATTATGATTAAGCGCGGGCTTGGCCACCAGTGTTGCCATCTTAGCGAATTTGTCGCTAGATTTGATGACCTTTTAGACTTCTTCATACAATAAAAGCCTAGCAGCACATCTAGCAACTTCTTGAGCAGATATTAGTGACTGTCCTGCATTCGATACGGCTCTCCAGCTCACATCACAAGTGCTGGTCATACAGACCTGAGAAAGTAGTTTCCGTCAACTCACCACCAGTGTTTAAAGCCTGACAGTTGCACTTACACAAGCCTATGTTCCCGACGACCAATCACTGATCACCATCGTTCCCGACGACCAATCACTGATCACCATTGTTCCCTACGACCAATCACTGATCACCATCGTTCCCAACAACATATCCCTGATCACCTTCGTTCCCGACGACATATCACTGATCAGCATCGTTCCCGACAAATAATCACTGATCGTTGTCGTTCCCGACGACCAATCACTGATCACCACTGTTCCTGTTGCTCTCCAGACACGAGAGTTTTATCAGTAAGGAGATGTGTAAAAAAAATTATAACAGACGTCCCCCGATAAACTAATCCCTTCTGAATAGAGCTTCTGTGTCTACAGAAAATCTTCGCTCTTCTTTTAACCAGTTTTGAAATGCAAAAGATCGTGATGATTCAGTCAATATGCAGATGAAGCTGTCACCTGATGCCATCTAGTGACATTCTGAGCAAAGAGCTGCTGGGGGCAAATACTTTATAGCACACAGCATTACCTGGATTCTGCTTGACCACGATGGGCTGCTGCTCCTTCACATATCGCAAGTATGCAGTCAGAGGCCTTTTTGGAGGACCACCAGCTGTAGTGCTGAAGTTTTTTAATGTTGGAACCACACAAGAGCACCTGCAAACCCGAGATATCACCCACACACACACGCACGCACACACGCAC